GGATGACACACCGTCTCAGTGAAAAATAAATTGTTGCGGCTGCCTGCTTTGTTGAAGTCTCCAACTCTGGGACTCGTACAGGCCTCTCATTATATGCTGGCCTGACATCTGCTGCTGCTACATAAATGCTTAAGATGGGACATGTGAACCCCTATGCTGGTCTGATGCTATGACAAAAACCTTGACACTGTGCTTCGTTGCAGCATTGTGTTAGGCTGGTTTACTCGTGCATGTCCACAAAGACTGTGCCAGCACAGTGTAGTGGTTAGAGTGTCAAGCTAGGATCTAGGAGACCCAGGTTCAAATCCCTGTTTTGCCATGGAAGCAACACTGGGTGGCCTTGGGCCGCTCACTCTCTCAGCTTAATCTTCCTCACAGGGATGTTGTTGTAAGAATGAAATGGAGGAGGGAAGAACAATGTTGTAAACCACTTTGGGTCTCCATTGAGCAAGAAAAACAGTATAAATCAATCAATGAATCAATCCATAAAGTTGTTCTGCATCACTATCAACATTATGCTTGGCAGATACACACGTGTAACAGGCAGCTTGGTGCAGTGTTTAGATTGTTCAACTAGGTTGCAGAGACCCAGGTTCAAATTAAGTTTGTTGGGTGACATTGGGGCTGTTGATCTTAGTCTAACCTACCTCACAGGGTTGTTGGGCATACAACGGAGAATAGAAGACCAATTGTACACTGTACACTCCTTGGAGGAAGGATAGGATAACACATACTAAGTAAATAAATACGTTCACTGTCTGATGACTGCAACAATGAAGAAAGCTGATAGGCAGAAAGTTGATTCATTTGAAATGTGGTGTTAGAAGAGAGTTTTACGGGTACTGTAGACTACCAAAAAGTCAAATAAGTGGTTTCTAGATCAAATCAAGCCTGAGCTCTCCATAGAAGCTGAAGTGACTGAGATTATCGTACTTTGGCCACATTATGAGATGACAAGAATCACTGGAAAAGACAACAATGCTAGGAATAGCGGAAGGCAGCAGGTCACAAGGAATACTCAGAATGAGATGGATTGACTCACTGGTATTTCTGGCCACTGTGTGATACGGAGTGTTGGGCTGGATGGGCCTTTGCCCTGATCCAACATTGGCATCTCTTATGTTCTTAATCATGGAAGTCAGGGCCCTCAGAGGAGGAGGAGGAGGAAGAAGAAGAAGAGGAGGAAGAAGAAGAAGAAGAAGAGATTGGATTTATACCCCGCCCTTCACTACCCAAGGGAGTCTCAGAGCGGCTTACAAACTCCTTTCCCTTCCCCTCCCCACAACAGACACCCTGTGAGGTAGGTGGGTCTGGGAGAGCCCTGACAGAAACTGCCCTTTTTCAAGAACAGCTGGGCCAGAACTACGTCTTGCCCAAGGTCATCCAGCCAGGCGCAAGTGGAGGAGTGGGGAATCAAACCCGGCTCTCCCAGATTAGAGCCCACGCACAAGACCTCAGCAAGGCTGTTAATGATAGGGCATTTTGGAGGACATTAATTCATAGGGTTGCACACACAGATGACTTGCAATGCTTCTCTATCAATGCTGACTAAAGAATTTTTTTTTCTTCAGAAAAACGATTAGATGAGCTTCATAAGCATTTATATAATTATGCATGGTGTGGAGAATGTGGTGAACTTTAAAACAGGCAAAAGAAAACACTTTTGAGCACAATGTCTAATTCACTGCTGGAACACCATGCTGGATTGTACAGAGATGGCCTTGCATCGTCAGAACAGGGAATAAGGCAAATTCGTGGAGAACAGCATATCCCCATTTATTAGCACTGAAGGCTAAACGGAACCTCTACGTTCAGAGACCATATTTATGTATTAAAATATTTATATGCCACTGTTCCCGCTTACAAAAACACTTGACTGACAAGCAACAAATAAGTAAAATCAGAAACAGACATTAACAAGAGGACAGTTCAGCTTCCGAGTGCTTGCCTGAAAAGGTCACAGGCTTACATTTCTTGGGAGAAGCCAGCAGCCGCCGGGCCTTCCTCACCTCTTGATGGAGGCCCTTCCATAAGTTGGAACTGCTGCTGGAAAAAAAGGGGGGGGCTCACTGTGGCCAATCAGACAGCTCAACTAATGGTGAGCTCAGAGAGAATCTGAGGTGGCGAATAGGCTCATAACAAGAGAGATGTTTTTTCAAGAATATTTACCTCTGGACACCAGTTGTTTGCACGGTGGGAGGCACAATTTTGTCTTCATACTCTAAATAAGGACTTCCCAAGAGGATCTGATGGGCCACTACGGGAAATATGATGTTGGATAAAATGGACTTTCGATCCGATCTATCAGGGCTGTTCTTAACCCTTGATGGCCAGCGGCTGTTGACAGGCTGTGTCTGAGGTAACTTTGGATGATGTAAAAATTACATCTATGGTGTTAAAACCGCTATGGCTCCTTTGCTCATGAGGGTCATCCTCTGATGCTGCAAGCGCTTCCACCAGGCATTTGACTACGGAGCCGCCTTATACACCGAGGAGTTTCCCCGTGCCCTGGCTTTACCATCTCTTTCCTCCAGCCTGTGCCCTGGCTTTACCATCGTTATTTCCAGCCTGTGCCTGCCGCACAATAATTGAGCTTACTGAGCTGGTGTGAAAGTATTGCAATTATACGGTCACCTAAGTCATATTATAAATAACCTTGTTATATCTCTGAGGATGCCAGTCACAGCTGCTGGCGAAATGTCAGGTACTACAATGTCAAGACCACAGCCATACAGCCCAGATAATCTACAACAACTAACCTTGCTCTTGTTTACTTATCATGTTCCAGCATTTTAGGCGTATTTTAAATGATTGTTATTTATGTTCTATGTTTATATGTTTTGGAAGGCTTTAACTGTATCTTTATTATATGTTTGTAAGCCGCCCTGAGTCCACCTTGGTGGGGAGGGCGGGGTATAAATTGAATGAATAAATAAATAAATCATCCCACACAAGGCAAACATGCACGTGCAAATCAATCCTGGGTGTTAGAAAGATGGTACACAAGTACCAGGGCAGGCCATGATGCTGACACAAAATGTTGTGAAACGATATTTCAGGAGAGAATGTGAACATCATTCTGGGATCAGTCTTCGCTGTGACCCACACAGCACCTTGAATCCATGAAGCTGCCTTACACCGAGTTAGACCATTGGTCAGTCTTGTCCGCTTGGACTGGTAGCAGCTCTCCAAGGTTGCAGGTGGAGAAGCCCTTTCACCTTTCCTACTACAACATCCTTATAACTGGCAAAGCTGAAGGTTGAACCTGAGATGCAAGACAGATGTTCTGCTCTCAAGCCAAGGGCTTTTAAAAACAGCTGCCTTGCATCCTCAGAACACTGGTCTATCAAGGCCAATCTTGTCTACTCTGACTGGCAGAGACTGTATGACTGAAGTCCATGCAAGCAAGTTACTATGTAATCTTTTTAACTGGGGGTACCAGGGATTGAACCTGGGACCTCCTGCATGAAAAACAGAGGCTCTTCCACTAAGCATTAGGCTGGTGAGCAAGACTGTTTTAGAAGTATTTTATAAATGGCCTTGCTGGATGAAACCGAAAAACCCCATCAATCCCCCATGATGTCAGGCAGCTAGGTTTCACTCCATCTTGCGACAGCGAGTCCCATGAGTATGCTATTATTATGTTTTATATACCTAGGTGGCTATCAGTCATGGCTGTATGGCATTCCCCTGGCGCCACATCTAGCTTCCGTAAAGAGTTTTAGCTTCATTGTCTGAAGCAGGAATACAAGAAATCTCCAGTACAAACATGCTTTTGTGTGGCTCTGTAGGATTACTGGCTGCCTGAACAGGTCTGCTGGTGGAACAGAGTTAAGAACTCAGCAGTCGCAATCAGAGAGACACATGAGACTTTAAAATCATGTGCAACACCGATTTGGGTTCAGTTGGGGGGGGGGGAAGCAAGCAGAAAAATATTCTCAAAGTACTCTAAACAAGTAAATAGACCAAACCTGAAAGAAAGCAACAGCCAATGTACAAGCTGCAAAGCTGTTTGTGCGTTTCAGTACCTCTGTCTTTAAAGTCTCAGTGTGTGTGTGTGTGTGTGTGTGTGTGTGTGTGAAGTGCCATCAAATTGCAGCTGACTTACACTGACCGCAGCAAGGGGTTTCAAGGCAAGTGAGAAGCAGAGGTGGTTTGTCATGGCCTGCCTCTGCAGAGTCTTCCCTGGTGGTCTCCCATCCAACTACTGACCCTGCTTAACTTCCGAGATCTGACGAGATTGGGCTCTCCCATGCCACCTTCCTGTAGCCAGGTATTGTGTGGGGCAGGACGGGGGCAGCCAATAAACAAAGAAAGAGAGTTTGGATGGCAGAAATCTGAAAACAAGCAGAAATCTGAAAACAGAGCTGAAACAAAGCATGATCACTAACATGACACCTTCAACGAGGCAGAAATTACATCGTAGGGTCATACTTACAGCAGTAAGGAACAAGCTTAAAGCTGGTCTATACTCAGAAATAAGTCCCATCTTATCCCACTGGGCAGACTTCAAGGTCATGCACTGATCTTATTGCTGCTTCAATTACATTAAAAAACAACAACGCTTCTCTGCTGTATTGTACTGTAGCCCTCCTTGTCCTGCATTCTGTCTCCAAAAGGGGGCACTGCAGTCCAAAGGCTTCTCTAAGTTTACAGACAAGGACAGTGGTGGAGATAGCCCATCTCCTGTTGTCTGTCTCCACCATGTGGGTAAGGAAAGGCATGCTGCCTTTGATCGCAGTTCCATTTAGGTCACCTGGCTAACATCCATACCATAGCTAGACTCAACCGGGCCCTGCTGTTTTTCATTAGTCACCAGGAGCTTTTTCATTGTGGTTACTGCAAGGATTGTGTGTGTCCCAAATCAGATACCCACACCAGTCCCAATCTGTGGGAAGCAGAGCTCTCCTGCTTCCCTTTCGAATTTCAGGGCTTCTGTTTTGTTTTGCTGCTCAATAGACTAGCACAGCTACCCCCCTGGCACTGATAAACAAACCTACCATTCTTTATCGTAAAACTGTGCAACAAAGCCATGCCATCGAACCAGTGATTGTATTCGGTTTCCCCGATTTTATGCATGCCCGGGCCATTGCGAATAAGGACTCCCTCCATCCAGCTTGGTATCTCGCCTGTAAAAGGAAAAATGCTACATTAGGACATTTGCTGCAGGCGCCATCAGATCCTAAGACCTTTTCCTTCAAGTGGCCCTAAACTGGCCCCCAGCCAATGCAATATAGTACTGAATTTTGCAAGGCAGTAAGAGAAGTAATCAGAAGGCCAAATGGAGTGGGTAGGCTAGCAATGGCTTTTTCGTCTTGCTTTGGAGCTAAAAATTGCCTCCCGAGAGTCTGTTTTATATAACTGCAACAACGCCAGCAGCCCAAATCTCCCTGAATCTCCTGCTGGCTCTTCCTCCCAGCCTCCCCTAGAAGGCTGATGGCCCTTGCTCTCAATGAAGGTTCTTACTCACCAGTACTTACCCTGATGCCCACCAAGGTTTTCAAAAGTGAGTGGGGCCACTGTAAGGCAGGGCTTGTAACTGGCTCCTGTCATTCAAAGGGAAGGGTTTTCCACTGGACGAGGAAGAGGCAGCCATTTGGGGTTTGACTCCACCTCCTGTGGTAGCCATATTGGGGTGGTGCTTACCACCCCCTTCTCAAAATTCCCAAGGTGCCCACAGCCTGAAAAAGATTGGGGACCCCCTGCTCCAATCATTAGCTGTTAAATATGCAGTCTGTTCAGGCAATATCAGTTTTGAATGTCTACCTCTCATGGAAACGGGGAAAGCTCGGAACTGCCAATAGCCCTCCAGGGGGAAAAACAACAGGTAGCAATCTGCTGCTGGGTTCCTGGGGGGTATGATGTGTCTGGGCTCCAATATGAGCAGCCAGTAGACCTCAAGATGCTGGTTTTAACCCATGTGTGTGTAGACGACCCAGGCTGGCCTGATCTCATCAGATCTCAGAAACCAAGCAGGGTCAACCCTGATTAGTACTCAGATGGGAGACCAACTGTTGCTGCGCAGAGGCAGGCAATAGGCAAACCACCTCTGTTCATCTCTGGCCTTGAAAACCCCAGGAGAGGTTGCCATAGGCCCCTGCCACATGGCAGGGAAAACACAGGGAAACGTGCGGCTTTTAAAAGCCGCACCAAAGTTGAGACGCCGCGGCGGGATCCCACGGATCCCCTGAGTCGTGGCGCGGCGCTCCCCGGCACGATCAGATGCCGGGGAGGAAGAGTTGGATGGGAGGGGGAGGCTGCCGAACTGCGCATGAATGCAATATAGTACTGAATTTTGCAAGGCAGTAAGAGAAGTAATCAGAAGGCCAAATGGAGTGGGTAAGCTAGCAATGGCTTTTTCGTCTTGCTTTGGAGCTAAAAATTGCCTCCCGAGAAACTGAAGTGTCTGTTTTATATAACTGCAACAATGCCAGCAGCCCAAATCTCCCTGAATCTCCTGCTGGCTCTTCCTCCCAGCCTCCCCTAGAAGGCTGATGACGCTTGCTCTCAATGAGGGTTCTTACTCAGTCACCAGTACTTACCCTGATGCCCACCACGGTTTTCAAAAGTGGGTGGGTGCATTGTAAGGCAGGGCTTGTAACTGGCTTCTGTCATTCAAAGGGAAGGGTATTCCACTGGACGAGGAAGAGGCAGCCATTTGGGGTTTGACTCCACCTCCTGTGGTAGCCATATTGGGGTGGTGCTTACCACCCCCTTCTCAAAATTCCCAAGGTGCCCACAGCCTGAAAAAGATTGGGGACCCCCTGCTCCAATCATTAGCCGTTAAATATGCAGTCTGTTCAGGCAATATCAGTTTTGAATGTCTACCTCTCATGGAAACGGGGAAAGCTCGGAACTGCCAATAGCCCTCCAGGGAAAAAAACAACAGGTAGCAATCTGCTGGGTTCCTGGGGGGTATGATGTTTCTGGGCTCCAATATTAGCAGCCAGTAGACCTCAAGATGCTGGTTTTAACCCATGTGTGTGTAGACGACCCAGGCTGGCCTGATCTCATCAGATCTCAGAAACCAAGCAGGGTCAACCCTGATTAGTACTCAGATGGGAGACCACTGTTGCTGCGCAGAGGCAGGCAATAGACAAACCACCTCTGTTCGTCTCTGGCCTTGAAAACCCCAGGAGAGGTTGCCATAAGTTGGCCACGTCTCAATGACACTTATACACACAGCCCTCAAGATGTTGATTTTAACCAACAAAACCACAAAAAGTGTGGGATGTAAAAAATAGCCAGGAGTAACAGGAATCAATCATATCCGATCTGGCTTGGATTTCACATTCATCACATAGATTAATAGGTGTTGCTGACGTTCCTGAGCCTTCCATTACTCAGGTTGCTATGGATACCATTAAATTGCATGCAGAAGGACGTGGATGGGATACTTAGACGTTCAAGAGACCTGCCTACTGCTTGTGTGCTGGACTTGTCTCCATCCTGGCTAGAAAAACCTGCCCAAAGAAGGCTATCTCAATAGATGGCAAAGATCTGTAGCATCTCATCAATAAAAGACTTAGTGCCTCTGGCCTTAAGAGGGGCAATGGTTAATTAACACATGAAGCCACCTTGAAGTGAATCCAACCAGTCTTGTTTACTCCACCTGGCAGTGGCTTTCCAGGGCCTCAGGTGGAGACCTTTCACACACTATTACTTGATCTTTTTAACTGGGGATATTGGGGGATTGAAATTGAAATCTTCTACATACAAAGCAGGTGCTCAACCAGTGGCCCATGGCTTCCCCTTAAATGAAGCTGCCTTAGACTGAGTCAGACTCCAGGTCTCAGCATCAGAATTGTCTGCTTAGACTGGTTGTGGCTCTCCAAGGTCTCAGCTTGAGGTCTTTTGCATTACCCACTACCTGATCCTGGAGATGTTGGGGGCTGAGCCTGGGACCTCTGTCACACAAAGCAGATGATTTACCACTGAGCCATGGCACCTTCCCAAGCTACATGTGATGCCGGAGTTCTGGCACTGGAGCTTTTGACATGTCACTTGACCTTTAAGAGCAACTATGTGGGGGAGAATGTTGATATGGACTGCCGGTGGCAAGAAAGGCAGAGAACCTGAATCCTTTCTCCCCTATCCTACCTCCTCAGTTGCTAAAGGCTCCTCCAGGGGTATTTGTAATCTGGTGGGGCAAAAAAAATAAGAAGAGATTGGATTTATATCCCGCCCTTCACTCAGAGCGGTTTACAAACTCCTTCCCCTTCCCCTCCCCACAACAGACACCCCATGAGGTAGGTGGGGCTGAGAGAGCTCTTTCCAGAACTGTCCTTGAGAGAGCAGCTCTGACAGAACTGTGGCTTGCCCAAGGCCATCCAGCAGCTGCAAGTGGAGAAGTGGGGAATCAAACCCGGTCCTCCCAAATAGAGTCTGCGAACTTAACCACTACACCAAACTGGTTCAGGTATACATATAAAATTAACCCTTTCATCCCTATCACTATGGTCCTCATACGTTTTACCCCATCACAGCTACTTTTTAAGATGGATTATACATCAAGAGTTTCGGTTACACCTTTCTACCACCACATGTAGTTTGGCCCCTTGCATTCCTTCTCTTGAAAAGACAAAAGCTGTGGTTATGGCCTTCAAATGGGCTTTGCCTCAGTTGTTTAGAACTCCTCAGTCAAAGACTCATCCTGTGCTTGGAAGAAAAACGTGTCCGATGCGGGTTTTCCTGTTCTAGCAACCCTGAATTATGACAAGCAACTCCTGACAAAATTCGCTCCTTTGTACAACTTCTGAAGGCCTAAAAGCCTGGTCCCCAACTGAACCTGGTTTTCCTACAGGCCTTCCCTAAAGAAGATTGTACTGATGGCCTTAAGAGGGACAATAGTTTGAACAGGAAGGGAATCCGACAGTGGGGTGGATCTAACCTGCTTTTCCACTGGTGAAAAGCTATGCTGTGGATCACGGGACCCTTCATAGACAAAAGTCACATGAAACAATGGCTGCAGTAAGGAGAGAAATGATATATTTATTTACTTCATTTATAACCTGCCTTTCCCCCAAATGCAGAAAGGCAGATTATAAATGCCTTTCTCCTCTCCTCCATTTTATCCTCACAACAGCCCTATGAGGTAGGGTAGGCTGAGTGTCTGTGACCGGCCCAAGGGCGCCTAGCAAGCTTTCATGGCAGGGTGGGGATCTGAATCCAGGTCAAGCAACTCCTGACAAAATTCGCTCCTTTGCGCAACTTCTGAAGGCCCAAAAGCCTGGTCCTTAACTGAACCTGGTTTCCCTATAGGCCTTCCCTAAAGAAGATTGTACTGACGGCCTTAAGAGGGACAATGGTTTGAACAGGAAGGGAATCCGACAGTGGGGTGGATCTAACCTGCTTTTCCACTGGTGAAAAAAAGAGGGGGGATTGACCACTGAAAAGCTATGCTGTGGATCACGGGACCCTTCATAGACAAAAGTCACATGAAACAATGGTTGCAGTAAGGAGAGAAATGATATATTTATTTACTTCATTTATAACCTGCCTTTCCCCCAAATGCAGAAAGGCAGATTATAAACGCCTTTCCTCCATTTTATCCTCACAACAGCCCTGTGAGGTAGGGTAGGCTGAGTGTCTGTGACCGACCCAAGGGCGCCTAGCAAGCTTTCATGATGGCAGGGTGGGGATCTGAATCCAGGTCTCCCAGATCCTAGTGTGATACTCTGACTACTCCCACACTGAGATAAAAAGCTGGCTGTTCCTGGGGTATCTGCACTTACTTTGAATACTGAACTGCTGGTTGTAGAATTCATTTTCAGGCATGGTCTTGTGTGAACAGCCACAGCTGAGGAATTGAGGACCTGGCAAAGGACTTTGAAATAACTTCTGGGAAAGATACAAATCAAAAACTTCCAGCATTTTTAATTAGATTTTTTTAAAAACCCTAAATTTGGTACCATTTGATTGCTTCTGAGGCTTTTACTGGCCCAAGAGTATCCTTCCTTGGACCAAGCAGGTTTCTTTTATGACCCACCTTGAGGATTCAAAAAGGCCTGAAGGTGAGTTAGAGTGACTGACTTACAGAAACGTCCTTGGTCCAATAAAAACCACAAAACCAAAACAATCTCAAGTTCATTTATTTATCGAAGCCATTTTTAGCCCACCTTTCTCTTAA